GTTAGTGTGATATGTGATATTTATGCAAGGGTAAATACTTGTCTCCATCCTCTCATTTCCTACCCACCACCCTTCTATAATAATATACATGACACTCATTCAAGGGATATTTATCATTTAAAAATATTATAAATATCAAATTTTGAAATAAATAAATAAATAAATAGTTGAGCACTTATAACTACCAATAACCTTAAGTGAGATGTCTAAATAAGGAAAAAGTCCTTAATGGTGAGAGGCTCTCCCATATATATTTTTTCTCTTTCCCTCCTCCCAGTCATCCCGATCCTCCATCTTCAATAATGAGAATACCATTATCACTATCACTGTTTAATGTCAATATTAAAAGGAGTAACAACATTATCCATTATCACTGTCACCTCTTCTACCGCTCCATTAACTCAACCATTGTTTTCTTGTCTAATGTTAAGAGCATTAGATCATTTTTAATTATGTTAAAAGTTTTTATAGGAGGAATGTTCCTATAAAAAACATTGATGTAGCCATTTGATGAAATCTTATTTAGGATTAACTTTTAGCATACTTCATTTTTAGCCCTTCCAAGACTTCTAACCCTCTTTGTTTTCTTTTACTTAGTTATTTTACACTTGTTTATATAGATTTATTAAATCATTGCTTAAATTAATCAATGTTAATCAAGTTATGATTGAGAAGATAAGTTAGCATTCTCGTTGCTATCACTCGTCTTATCCCAGCTCTTTGATCTCATCATCTCTTATACACCATTTATCATCTATCATTTTTTGCTTATTACACACCACAACACTTATCCCTATGTAGGTTTTTTATGGACTATACAAGATTAAGATTTAGGTTGATCCTTGCGGATGAGAATCACTTGGGTGTTGTACGGGCATGACAAAAGGGCACTCTCATCTTTTCATAATTTCTAGAATAATCTCGATATGACACAACAATAGCTCATATTTTTAGCAGGTCGATCATAGAGTGAACCAATTTGCCAATTTTGAATTAGTATGCAAGATGAACCGATCTATTTTTTTAATTATGGTGTTTTTAAGTAGGGGTATAGTATTATTTAAAATAATATAAACCTATATAAGAATACTATAATTGACATAAGAATCTTCCTATTTATTTGTTTTGGTTTTTAAGCCCGTAAGAATACATATTTGAAACCATGTTTTTCGTTGAAGTTAGAATTTATTAGGTTTTAAGTATTTGCTTCAGTTATAATGTTTTTGCATAAATTTATAATATTTTGATGAAGGTATAGAAATACTATAAGTGTCTTAGAAAACATAGTAACAAATACAAAAATATTCCTATTTAGTTGTCCTTATTCCTAAATCAATATGGATGATTATTTGAAACTCTATTTTTGTATATAAGTTAGTTTGTATTGAGTTTTGAATCAATTTATCTCAGTTATATTGTTTTTGAATGTTTTTAGTGGAGATGCTAAAATCACTATAAGTATATTCAGAAACATTATAACGGATAGAGTTTTTTAATAAAATATTTTTAAAAAAAATGAGGATGTTTTAGAAATTAGAAAAAAATTGAAAATACTCTTTGCAAATTTTAACAAGAGGACATCTCTAGAAGCCTATAAATAAGATTTTATTTTGAGAAATTTTAAAAATTACCCAAATTCATTTTCTTTAGGTTGAATAAAATAAATAAACGATTATGCTCCTCAGTTTTTTTTTTTAAGAAAACAAATTTATTAAGAGTAATTTAATTTGCAAGGATATATAAAGTATCTTTGTTTAGATAAATGTGCAAAAAGTTCAGTAAATTTTGTAAAATATTTTTCAACCACAAAATAAAATTTAGGTCATAATCCCAATTTGTTAGATGGTTAATTCTTTCTAAGAGTGAAGATAAATAATTTTTTTAAGATTTTTGGATTACATGAGATTTTCACAGTTATACATGTGCCTTTGATCCCACCCATAACACCACCAGATAATCTGGTCTCATATGTGAAATAATCATGTAAGTCAACCATGCATTTGCGAGACACGAATTGTGCAACTGGTGCTTTCGGAAACGAATATGATTCCGAGATTGAGTAATGATGGAATAGTTTCGCAAATACATTCGGGAACACCTATTACTGTTTGCCACGCAAATTTAGCGTGATTCTTTATAATAGCAGTATAAAAATGTACACGAAGAACACGACTGCAGAAACAACAACCGTCGGAAGCCACTCCACTCCATCAATCACCTCAGACGGTCTGATCTCTGAACTGGTCCACGAGTGCCACAACCACTGCCAAATTATTGCGAGGACAGGACGTACCTTGTGATCCTCTCCTGATGCCATCACCATCCCACACTGGCTCATCTAAGCCGTCCATTATATTTCCAACACAATTTAAATACAACTAATATTCTTCTTTTTTTTTTTGGTCACACCTAATCATTATGAACCGATGACTCACTACGTTATAGACTAATAACGAAGAACCCGAACACTGGCTGGATCGTGATTTATCACCAATCCCCAGGGCTTTCCTTTCTTCGTATCCTGACCGCTTATCCATAACTGCTGGGCAAGGACCGTGAAGGGAACTCGACGGCTCAGATTGGCCCACGCGAACCGACAAATCGAACCGGCGTGTCAGATAGTTGAACCGGGGTTGGGAGAACTAAACCCGGGTCGTACCCCTGGTTAACGGAATAGACAAGCGTTGAAGAGGGGAGCAAAAAGTGAGTGGCGAGCGAAGGGATTTTGGAAGCTGAGATCCTCTCCCCCTCTCCCTTTTATCTTTAGATCACGCATCTATTTACCTTCTTTTTATGACGTAACTTGCTTCGTTTTATGGGGCTTTGTAATTGATTGGTATCGCTTCCTTTGGGGGAAAAAAATTCTCGTTTTTTGATTTCTTTTCGGTGTGATTTGAGTGTTTTGCCCCAAATCTGCGGTGGGAGTCTTCCCGATGTGATCCGAGGGAAAATGGGTTTCGGTTCGATCTACCGGCTTGGAAATGGACTTATCGGCGAGTTCTGTGCTAATTTCAGGAGCAGATCTGAGTAGAAATGGAGTTGGTGGAGAAAGCTAGATGAAAGGTGGGATCTTTACTACAGTTGTTATTGGCATTTCTAGTGGTGTTCCATGGAACTTGACTACAGATCTAAGTGTTGTGCTCTTTTTGCTCCTAGCACTAAGCTTGAGGAGACGGTGCGAGGAAAGATCGGCGGCACTGAGGGTTCCGGTTTTGCTCTTTTGCCATGACTTACTTCCCAGAGGAGGTGGTGGAGCACATCTTCGACTTCCTCAGCTCGCACCGCGACCGTAACATCGTGTCGACGGTGTGCAAGGCATGGTATCGTGTCGAGCGGCTCAGCCGCCGCATTGTGTTCGTTGGCAACTGTTATGCCGTGCGGCCAGGACGAGTAATGGCGAGGTTCCCTGGAATGAAGTGTCTCAGCGTCAAGGGGAAGCCCCATTTTGCCGATTTCAACTTGGTCCCACATGATTGGGGTGGCTTCGCGCTGCCATGGATTGAGGCCGCCGCCCGCGGTTGCCCTGGTCTCGAGGAGCTCCGTCTGAAGAGAATGGTGGTGTCTGATGAGAGCCTTGAGCTCCTTGCACGCTCCTTCCCCAACTTCAAGGCCCTTGTTCTCGTCAGCTGCGAGGGTTTCACCACTGATGGGCTTGCTGCGATCGCTACTCATTGTAGGTGAGCATCTGTTGGTCCTTATTGCACCTTTCGAGTAAAGATTAGTTCTTGTTCATGTGCTCTTACTCGGTGATGTTCGATGGCCTTGGGGTAGCTCCTTCTTAGCTTCTAATCGGTGAATCGAGTTAAAGTTTTTGAGTTTTTATTGTATTTTTGAATTTGTATCTCATTATAGTTTGGCCTTTCTTAATTTAAATAAAAAAATAAAATTATATCTAGTAGGAGGATTGAGCGTGTCCTTTTGTTACCCTGTTCGTCAGAAACTCATTCGTGAATGTGGAGATAGTCTCTTGGTAGATTATGCTTCTTAAAGCTTTTTTTCAGGTTCACAAAAAATCAAACTGGTAATATCATGCAAGGCTCTTGTGATACTTAAGCATGTTAAAAGTGAATCAGGCTGCATTAATTTCTTTTTAGCTTGTTTCAGGTGCCAAATTACTGATTGCAACTTTCTTTGATGTTTTCTTTGCTTGCTTGTTGCTAGGGGTCTTAGGGAGCTAGATTTACAGGAAAATGAGGTGGAAGATCATGGCAGGCAGTGGCTCAGTTGCTTCCCTGATTCTTGTACTTCCCTAGAGTCCCTGAACTTTGCTTGCCTCAAAGGGGAGGTGAATGCAGGTGCTCTCGAGAGACTTGTTGCTCGGTGCGTGAACCTCAGGAGCTTGAAGCTTAATCGTGCAATATCTGTTGAGTCACTTGCCAGGATGCTTGCCCGAACCCCCCATTTGGTCGAACTTGGAACTGGTTCGTTCACCGTTGAGCACCGTGCTGAAGCTTACCAGAGGCTGATACATGCCTTCCGAAAATGCAAGTCACTAAAGAGTTTGTCAGGTTTCTGGGATGTTGCTCCACGCTGCCTGCAGTCTATCTATTCCATCTGTCCAAACCTTACTGTTTTAAACCTGAGCTATGCTCCTGCAATCCAGGGTGCTGATTTAGTAAAGCTGATTCGTCACTGTTTCAAACTTCAAAAGCTTTGGGTGAGATCTAGTTGCTTCCTCTTGTGATTGCCTTGTTTTCTTTCTGTGACTTGATCAAACTGTAGCTCGAGTGATTTTGCAGGTATTAGATTGCATCAGAGACAAAGGACTAGCAGTTGTGGCTTCCACTTGCCAAGAGTTACAGGAGTTGAGGGTCTTTCCTTCTGATATCTATGGAACTGGCACTGCCGCTGTGACTGAAGAAGGGCTGGTTGCCATATCTTCAGGGTGCTCAAAGCTGAACTCTTTGCTGTATTTCTGCCACCAGATGACAAATGCTGCACTCATCACTGTTGCAAAGAACTGTCCCCATTTCACACGGTTCAGACTGTGTATCCTTGATCCTGGGAAGCCAGACCCCGACACTAATCAACCACTGGATGAAGGTTTTGGGGCTATCGTGCGCTCGTGTAAAGATCTGAGGAGACTATCACTATCAGGTCTTCTAACCGACAAGGTTTTCTTGTATATTGGTGAGTATGCTGCACGTCTTGAGATGCTTTCAATTGCATTTGCTGGTGATAGCGATAAGGGAATGGTTTACGTGCTCAATGGATGCAAGAATCTTAGGAAGCTTGAAATAAGGGACAGTCCATTCGGTGATGCTGCACTTTTGGAGAATGTGGGCAAGTATGAAACAATGCGATCCCTTTGGATGTCATCCTGTGATGTTACTTTAGGGGGGTGTAAGGCACTTGCAGCAAAGATGCCGAGATTGAATGTGGAGGTCATAAACGACAGAGACGAAAGCGATGAGATGGAGGAAAATCCTAGCGACATGCATAAGGTAGAGAAAATGTACGTGTATCGGACTCTGGCTGGAGCAAGGAATGATGCACCAGAATTCGTTGAGATATTGTAGAGTCAGGCTAGCAAGTGGTCTTCAGAAGTAATTGTGTTTGGATTTAATTTCATGTAATGTTACCATTACCATTATCGTAGTCATCTTTGTAGACTCCAATTATGGATGATGAGGAACGCAAGTCTGAGTCTGTAGATTTTGCTCTTGTGATAAGAGACCTGTCTGCTGATTTTTGCGTCGAAGTGCTTTGCTTTCTTATATCCTTGTGATTCCATAATGCACAGGTTCTCAACAGTGTTATCTGTCGCTTGTGCTCTTGAATTCATATCAATGGGTGCATTACAAAGGGGACGACACAGTACGTATCATTTATTTTACCTCACATTGTGAAGACGTAGGAACTCACACCATGGCATGTAACACATGTGCAGCCTTACGTAAACGAATGACTCCTGATACGTACTGCAGTCGCTTTATTCCAGCACTCATTGGCATTATGGAAGGGTTGAAGAAAGAACTGGAGATGGTGACAGGATAAGCTTGTCAGATGGATCGTCTTTTGTCTATGATATGGCTACATCTGCGTCCTCTCCTGCAGCAATGTGTTCGAGCTCATCATTCCTTTCACTACCCCTTTTTCGTGTTCGGTCACGGCTGCTTGGCCTTTTCTTTTCTGCATGCTGTGGGCTCTTCGCAGACGCGACCAGCTTTTCTACCTTCATTTTCCCTTCGGCCTTTCATCTGTGTGTGGACTGCTGGATTCTTCCATGTGCTGAGCTTCGATCGGTCACCATCGCTCAAATTTGGTTCGCGTGGACTCTTCATATTCTCCATTCATTTCGGTGGGGACTGCGAGCTACGATGAATGAATGTGCCTTTCCTGCACCTGTTCATAGTCTGTTCATGGAATTTGCAGATTGAAATGTTATCAACATCACCAACTCTTTTTCAGGTAGATTATAGTGTTTGATCAGAATCACAAGATGTTGTTATATTACACGTTGGGATGACATTTGCGATAGATAAATCGACGTTACTTTGCCTAAGAAGCATTCGAGAACGATCGATCGGATCTTGAGCATCCGATTTGATATCGATCTATACGAAAATCGAGATCGAATGAGATTTCTAATATCGTCCCTTCGAAGCTCAAGTGTATAACAAAATAAAGTAAAAATTATGAATAAAAAATCATTGACCTTAATTATTGATGTATGATTGATCCAACTAAAAGAAATATTTCACTTGGAAAGAAAGATATAGGTAAAATATTTTAGGAAAATTATATTAATTGATGTCCTTATTGAGTATTGAGGTAAGAGAGACTTTTTATGATTGATTCAATTGAAAAAAATATTCCACGATATAGGTGGAATATTTTAAGAACATCATATATTAAATTGATGTCCGTATGGCTTAATTGTTAACCAAGGTCTTAGCCTCCTCGTACTAACTTAACTATCACATGTCCAATCTGATTAGAGTAAATATTTCCCCTATCACTATATAGTTTGTTCATACCGAAAAAGTGTATAGCTTATTTTCATTAAATGAAAAGAATTTTATTTTCTTATGGCTTAGTGATCGATGCATTTGAGATATGATATGCTTTTAGTAAATATTGTTGTACATTTAGATGTCAGAACAGTAATTTAAGTTAAATTGGAGAAATGTTCGAATTATTTTAAGGCTTTTTTTATTTAAGACTAGATTTTGGTCTGTGACATGAAAATCCATATTTCGACTAAATTTATAGTGGGGTGAAGAATAAAGGGACAAAAAGAATAGGATTAGAGTCCTGTCTTTTTTTCTCCCATGATTTAGTTTGTTTATGAGCATTTGAGTAACCCGTAGAGGTTTTGCAACATATCGTAGAAGGTTATATCAAGCACATTGCAGCCAAAAAGAGGTCATTTCTTGAATGATAATAATATTAATCATCCTAATTGAGTAAAAGAATACAACAACATGGTTGATCCTAATTTATTTTTGCAAAGAGAGTTCATGCTGGCACCATTATTGCCATAGTTTACCAAATTGTTCGACGGTAAACCGAGACCCAATTGATGCCACAAAAGGATCTTAGCTTTGCTTTCATATGCTTTAACCCCGAGTTATAATCAATCTATGCATTTATATATTTGTAGAGGTTATTTTCGATATATATAGAGCGGAAAATTTTCAATTACAATGTTTTCTAATGTGTTTATGATATTTGAAGTCTATCCAAAAAACACTATAACTAGGTCTCTATTTTTATTCATAAATTATTGATGATACTTACCTAAAATCTTATTTTTATATATGAGCTAATTTATATTGAGTTTTAAGTCAATTTGTCTAAGTTATAGTGTTTTTGAATAGAAGGATAATATTTTGGTGGAGGTGTCAAAAACACTGTAAGCAACGTTATCCAATTCATTTTATAGACTTGGCATATTGACTTGGCTTATGATGCTTTGAGTTTGAAGTTTTGATTTTTGAATCAATTTATCTAAGTTATAGTATTTTTTAAAATAAACTTAATAGTGTTTTGATAAACGTGTTAAAAGCACTCTAAGCCTATTCAAAAAATTATCCGATTCACCCTATTAATTAATTTCTCAATTATAATATTTTTAAATAAATAGGCATATGTATTTTGAGAAAACCATAACCCTATTCAAAAATACTATAATCTATATAAAATTATTCCTAGTTGGTTATTATTCTTTCTTAAATCAATAAGAATACTTATTTAAGATTCTATTCTTAAACATGAGTTATTTTCTATTATATTTTGAGTCAATTTATCATGTGATAGTGTTTTTGACTAGACTTATAATGTCTTGATCAAAATGCCAAAAACACTTAAGCTTATTAAAAAATATTTTCAATCCAGATTTACTGTGTAAATTTTATACATCGGGGATTCAACTCATTCACCTCATAGACCGGTCTATAAGGTGTAAGCAGTATCACGCCAACTATCTTGCTAAGGGCATTTTAGAAATATGACAAATAGATGTTGCTATTTAGGAAACATGAAAAAGGACAGTACGTCTTAAGAAAGAAAAATTATATTAAAAAATAAGTTTTTGATTTGGTGTGTGTACATATGAATATGTATATATACATAGGTAGATTATTCTTTTTGCATTCCCCGTATTCCTACACCTTACCGTTTCTTCTTCATGCATACAATTTCCGTTGTTTATCACCTAATCATTATTATTGTTCTCTATAATCGATTCTTCCTTCGTATTTGTGGAAGTATCGATATATATATATATATGTATATGTATATATATGTATGTATACGTATGTATATGTATGTATATGTATGTATATATATGTATATGTATGTATATATATGTATATGTATGTATATACATGTGTATGTATGTATATACATGTGTATATATATGTATATACATGTGTATATATATGTATATACATGTGTATATATATGTATATACATATATATATACATACATATATACATATATATACATACATATATATATACATATATATATATATACATACATATATATATACATATATATATATATATACATACATATATATATATATATACATACATATATATATATACATACATATATATATATATATACATATATATATATATATATATATGTGTGTATATATATATAATGGTTTATGTATTCATGTTTCACTATTCGATTCCACTTTTTTCCTCTCTCGTTCAGCTACCTCTGTCCTTTTTTTTTCTGTCTTTAATTTATAATTCATTGAAAATAACAAAAGAAATTATTAAAAAGTCATTTTGATAAACTCGGATTTGTTTTGATCACTTTCATTTTTAAAAGGGTGATTAATGAGAAGAAAAAAAAAAAAGAAAACACGACAGGGATCAGTAGCAACAGATGATAGATGATGTTGTTTCTTCTACGATTTTGGAAAGTGCAAATTACTATTTTCTCAGTGTGTTGAGATGATCAAAAACAAAAGTGATCATGATGATGAAACAGTCAAAAAAATTTTGGGTGGATCGATGGATCGACTAAGTAAATCATACATAAGATTGAGCTGAATTATACTCACTTCTGTTGTACTGCAACATCATGACGTGTTGGATGCTGGGCGAGTCTTGCAACAATGTCATCGTCTCCCTCGAACACCATACGTTATCTCGAACATGTTGCAATGTCAAGAAGGGAAGCAGCAGTTGACCTCTACATGTTATCTCCACCTGTGTTAAGTTCATCATTGACGTGATCAAGTTTTATTGAGGCAAGTAAAGAGAGTCATGATTGTGATTATACTCAAATTATTGTTGTCTCTTTAAACCAAAAATCTACAATCGAATCTGTATAGGATAATGATCAGTCTTGACAAACGTCTGAGCTGTGTAATAGCGACGTTTCATGCTTTATATACTAGTGTACTTACAACTCTCTCTCTCTCTC